CTCAGAATTAACAAATCACCGGGTTAAAACCCAGGACGCTTCAGCCCAGTCAAACCGCTGAGAACTGCTGGGATGTCCTTGCCTTCTTCTGTAAGATGCATGCAGCATTTGTGAGGTCCAATGAGGCATTTGCTCCTGCTAGGTCCCTGCTTGCATCCTCAGTGCAGGGTAGGGAGAGCTCTTTCTTTCTGCATGATGGACCATCTGTCCCAAACCAGGGCTGGGCACGTTCTATCCATTTCTGCTATTTCTCTCATGAGCAGAAGTTAGTAAAGATTTATCATAGCACTAAAGCTCAAATTGAGCACATTTGAAAGAAGAACAATTTATTCATCAAAAATATAGCTTCATTTTAACTGCAATTATTCTCAAGTTAAGGTCTCATTCAGCAAGCAGTTGGCTAAATAAATAGCAACTTTTTATATCTAAGCCATTTCATTTTGACATTCTATTGGAAAAATAAATACAGGAGGACATAGACTACCCAGACTACTTTTGGAAACTTTCATCATCTTTTTTTTTTTTTCTGTCATAAAGGGCTGGAATTTAGGATGAGGGCATGTGTCTGATGAAGACTGTAATCTTGATTCTGACCAATATGGGAGAAGTGGTTGGGTATCCAAAAAAGAGGCATCACAGGGGTGGCAGAGATCACAAACAATGTCGGTCATTTGTTTTGACATTAAAAAGAGAATATCCATTAAAAAAAAATAGTTGTCTGTACAAACAAAAGCTTAACTCATGGGGATGTTTCACCACCAGCAAGAGTCGCTTGGGAAAATGTTCTAAGAAAATAAAAAATAAAGAAGTACAGGCATGCAGGAAATTAATAAAGGCAAATACGTTAGGGACACAGCAACTAAGCACCCAGATGCAGAGAAAGAACAGAACCACAGGAAAAGACCCATATTGCTGCTTCAAGAGCACTTTAGTGTCCTGGAAATCCAAAAGGAGCCCTGTAAAAAGTGAAAATGAGGATATAAGGAGGAGTGTAAAGGGATATTTCAAACACATAAGGATAGAATGAGAGGAGCGAGGTGAATAATAATTCACCAGGAAGGGGCATAGAAATAACAAAAGAAGTTTTAGGAATACATTATAGCAGGAAAAAAAAAAAGAATCTACACCAATTACTTGTCATGGAGAGAGCAAGCAAAGAGATTGCCTAGAAAGATCTGAAGCAGCCAGTGCTTTGCTCACCACGGTTTTCACTGTATAAGGCTGTGGTCAGTGCCTTGGGTGTTTATCTTTAGTTAAGAAATAGAAGATTAGGCCAACCTGGAAAAGAAAGAGTTATATGATACGGAGATAAGCTGGGTGTATTCTAGCAATCAGAGTTCTGGAAAAGTGGCCCTGGGAAATCTAGGCCATCTCTGAACCATTAACACTAGTTCCTTACAATTTATGAAGGCTCAAGAGGCTCCAGAGAAGATAAATATAACATCTCTCTGTAAAAATGAGGGGCTAGAGGAGTTGGGGAGTTAGAGACCAGCCAGCCCAGCTTCAGTTCCTGGAAAAAAATTTGGAACAAACTATTGAAYAATCCACTTGTAAACACATAGAGGACAATAATGTGATATAAAGAAAAAAACAACAGTCAGCACAATTTTATCAAGCACAATTCATGTCAAGGCAATCTAATTTCCCTCCTTGCCAGGGTAATTGGTCTAGTGGAGGAAGAGGAAGCAGTTCATGTGACACATCTTAAGCAAAGCCTCCAGAGCTGCCCTGTGTGACACTCTCATAAAGGAGACATGGAAACACAATTTGAGGGAAAGYCCTGGGAGACAGGTAAAACTGACTGGATATTGGTGCTGGAAGCCAAGCTAGCTCCATTCCCCAGCAGGCTGAGAGGTTCTGCAGAGCTCTCTCCAGGGTCACCTTGGATTCCTCTTCCCTTTAGGTGCTCGGCTTTGGGGACTGAGAGGACATCCTAAATGTGGAGGAGACACCCAGGCGGGGAGAGCGGTGGGAGGACAGAATGAGTAGAAAATATCTGGGCGATCCCAACGTCCTGACACAAATTCAGCAGCGGTAAGTGACAGGTCTTCCTTCGGAAAGGAGGGCAGGGACCACATGGATTTGAGAGCGGCTGTGGCAACAGCCCCACTGCTCACTGCTGCCCAGACCCTGCATTGGGAAGCATTGGGATTCGAGCACGGGATCTCCTGGAGGATGCAGCGCCGTGGAGAAGAGTCCCCGGACCGCTAGGGCTGCCGGGGCGGGCCCGGCTCCCTCCTGCTCAGCTCTCCCAGAGCCAAGYTCTGTCCCAAGGGTTGACCACCCGGCCTCGCCAGCACGTCTGCAAAGTGGTGCAGCCCCTCTGAGCTGAGCAGAACGTCTCAGGCGATGCCATGCTATAAATGCATGGGCTTGACCTTACTATTAAGAAAATCTAAGTATAATATGTAATAAGATATATATATATTTATAATATATATAGAATATAGAAGATATAATATGTAATATATATGATGTGTAATAGATATGATATATAATATATAATATATAATATATAATATATAATATATAATATATAATATATAATATATAATATATAATATATAATGTATAATGTATAATGTATAATATATAGTACATAGTACATAGTACATAATAAAGAATATAGAATATAGAATATAGAATATAGAATATAGAATATAGAATATAGAATATACTCTAGTGGGTTTTTTTACTTAGAAATCATTCCAGTTTAAACCAGTAGACTCCCACTCCTAAGACAGGAACCATCCATATCCCTAGGGAGCAGAGGAGTGAAGTTCATCCCTCCACATTTCATCTTCCCAGCGCTTCCCAGAGCGGCCCTTCATCTCAAGGAGCTTCCAAGCTCAAACCCATGACTAATGTTTGGATACACCCTGCAACATTTGCTTTCCCTGTTTCCTCAGCCACTGCCAAAAACAGAAAAAAAAACAGGTTTCACAACAAAATACTTCAGAAAAGTGAAATGAGGCATTCCTGGAGTTCAGTGTCACACACCGCAGCAGCCTCTCCCTTCAGAAAGCCTTGACAGTTTGGACCAGGAGGAAAATGCGATTCTGCAATGTTTCTCTGGAGGAAAGAAAAAGACAGATTTTATTTTTAGAATTTTTTGGCAGCTATATTGTTACCAGACCGTCTGTGCTCTGCTGAGCAAGACTGGAGCGGCAGGCATAGCCAAAGAGGAGTTYGCTCAAATTTACTCATGGAGCAAAATGTCATGATAAAATTGTGTTTAATCAGGAACCCAGCATCCTTACAAGAAGAAAAAAAATGTACATGTACATACTGTTTATTATAATAATGGTGGTTTTTGTGATCCTGCAATGAGCAGGGAAATGTAGCTTTAGGCCTGAACTGCTGTCATCTTTGGGAAAAAGCCAAGTTCCACTTTGATGCCCTGTGGTGACACTGAACAGCCAAGGGGAGGTCTAATATCTTCTTTTTCCATCCCACTACCACCCRTCAGTTCTCTGCAGGTGGAGATGCCTCAGATAGTGATGAGGTTGTAAAGGAGAACATGGAAAAATAAAAAGACAAGGAAGGGCTCAGACCATCTTTTTATTTCTCCTTGCTTTCTGGTCTTGGACATTTGTTCCATCTTTTCAGCTTTCAGCAACCTTGTTATAGACAAATCCGTGAGGTTGAGGTACCTTTGGAGATCACCTAGCTCAATRCCTCTGCTCACAGCAGGGTCACCAGAACCAGTGCCTGGTTCTGTTTTAAATGTTACTTAGGATAGAGACTCCACAACTCTCTGGRCAATCCATTCCAGTGTTAGACCACACTCTCAGGAAAAATAATAATAATAATAATAAATGTCTTCTTATGTTTAGGTAGAATTCCTCTTTCAGTTTGTGCCCACTGCCCCTTATCCTGTTACTGGGTACCACTGAGAACAGTCTGTCTCCATCCTCTTGACATCTCCTCACAGGTATCTCCTCATATTGACAAGTCCCCTCTCGGGCTTCTCTCCTCCAGGTTGAGCAGTCCCGGCTCCCTCAGCATCTCTTCACCCATGAGACACTCCAGTCCCTTACACATCTTCACAGCCCTTTGTTGGACTTGTGCCCATAAGCCCATGTCCTGCTTGTACCAGGAAGCCCACAGCTGCACACAGATGTGCACTTTTCCTTACGGCACAACTGTGGCCCGCCAGTAATCACGTATTATAYCAAGAGCTAAAGAGGAAGGTGTCCCAGGGATGGTGCTGCCTGGGACGGGGTGGCCCCGGCCTGGGGTCACCCTGCGGGAGCGGGCAGCACGGCGAGCCGGGAGCTGCAGCACCACCAGCCCTCGACACCGGCTTCCAGGCACGTCCCGGGCAGGATTTATTGCTTCCGATTCCTCAGAAATGCCAAGGCTGGGTATGATGGATGGGCTGGGAGGTTCTCCCAGGACGCTCTCTGCAGCCGCCGCGGCCGCTGGGATGAGGACCAGGCAGGCAGCGCTGGCCTAGGAGGGAGCCTCTTGGGARGGAGACCTGCACCAGCCCAGGGCCGGGGCAGCATCACCCACGCGCAGGGCTGCAGCGCGTGGGTCTTGCTGGGCACGGCGACACGGGCACACCTCCCCCCAGGGAGTCCCCCCCGCGCAGGGACCAGTGCGGCTGCTGCGGGGGGCGGTATCGGCCCCGACACCGGCACCGAAACCAATATCGACACCGGCACCGAAACCAATATCGACACCGGCACCGAGCGCGGCCCCGCGAGCGGCGGGCGGAGCCGCGCGGCTGCGCGCCCCGAGGCCCCGCGCGCTCCCGAGGCCCCGCGCGCTCCCGTTGCTGTCCGCTCCCAAAGCTGCTGCACGCTCCAAGGCCTGCGTGCTCCCGTTGCTCCACACTTCCAGGGTCCTGGTCAGAAGCCACAATCTCAGGCTCAGGGGCCAAGCAGAGCCCTTCGTGGCGAAGTCGTGTCCTTCATGGTGAAGTCGTGTCCTTCGTGGTGAAGTCGTGTCCTTCATGGCAAAGTCGTSTCCTTCATGGCAAAGTCATGTCCTTCATGGCGAAGCCATGTCCTTCATCACAAAGTCGTGTCCTTCATCGCAAAGTGGTGTCCTTCATGGCGAAGCCGTGTCCTTCATCACAAAGTCATGTCCTTCATCGCAAAGCCATGTCCTTCATGGTGAAGTCGTCTCCTTCATGGTGAAGTCGTGCAGCAGCTGCCCACCCATTTTYGCATCTTCTCTCCTGGCAACGCACATCACTGTGCCCCTCATCCCACTCTCCCACGGTCACCCAGTGCCTCATCTATGCAGAGTTTACTCTTACCTGACTCCCCCTTTCTAGGGTAAAGCTCRCTGCCAGTTGGGCCTCTCCATAATATCACCCCAAAGAGAATGAGGARAGAAATGGCACGTGCTGCATTGACCACTGCAGCAAAGAGCAGCACTGGGACCAGATCAGAACGGCCTTCGGTGCTCTATTACTGCTGCTCCCAAGTCAGTGCGAAGGGCAGGGTGTCTTGCTCCTGGACCCCTCGCACGGGCTTTGTTGGAGCTGCTTTACTTATTCTGGGTTAGCATCTCTTCCCCCGAGAGGAAAACGTGGGGGATAGGAGGTGTTCTCAGGAGACAAGGAGCACTGAGCAATCCCACATGAAGTGCAGGGATGGCAACCTTGACCTTCCCACAAAGAGGGGTTAAAACACTTCAGCCTCATCCTGCTTTTTCTCACCCTGAACTAGATGCCCCAGTAGTGAGGGGGGAAAAAAATAGCACACCAAAAAACCTCATATACTCAGAATGACTCAAATCCAATTTTCTTTCGCAGCTAATCCTCTGGGGCTGGATTTATTCTGTCTTTGGCCTCAGCTCCAAGGGGACTCCTTGGAGAGGTGTTGCAGTGGCCTGGGAGCGCTGCACAGTCCCTCCAGCAGCAGGAAGGAGCACGGAGCTCGGCAGTGCTGGGGAGGGTGAAGAGGCTCCTTCTGGAGAACTCATCAAGCCTTGCAGGAACAGCCTGGCTCATCTTCCAGAGTGCAAGAAGTCACCGGAGGGAAAAGGATTCGAAGCAGGTTTCCAGCATGTTCCATGATGAAAGCAAGTTCATTTGCAGCGAAGAGCCATCTTCGAAAGTGCAGGCACGCTGAACAGCAACTTGCTTTGGAAAGCGTTGCCTGCGACTAGAGCCAGCAAAATGATTCCAGCTCCTGATTTCCAGCAAGAGGTCGTGGTGTGTTGGGATTGCTCTGGGGCAGCAATGGGGGGACAGCATCYGCTGTGCACAGCCCGCCCGCTGGGCAAAGCACTGCAGAGACTCCCGCGGTGGGGAAGGACTGGGAGGAGAYGGATAGGACACTATCCCCACCAGCWGTGAAGCCACCATGATGTGCAGTTCTGGAACGGTCACAACTCCAGAGACAAGAAAAGCTTAATATAAATGGTCTGAGATTGTGCGCTATAGGCCAGCATAGTCCAGCTGGTAGGAGCATTGTCCAGTGTCCAAACTGGCCCTTGAGCCAGGGAAAGAGGTTATTTGCCCTGGTGCCCCCATTTGCCTATATCTTGCCCAGCCGTATTCTTTGTGGCTGAAACTTTCCATCCCTGGGCCTCTTTTCCTTTCAAATTTCAGGGAAACCAGTTGTAGTTTCTGAGCACACTTACAGGGATAAGTATTGAAGCTGAGAGAGCCAAACACCCAGAGTTTGTTGGGAGAAACGACCTTTTGAAGCTTTTCATCAGGGTGGCAGATGAGCTGAAAACGGACGAGAAGCTTTCGAGAGCAAGCTCACTTTTTCCAGCTGTATCAGCAGCTCTAATGAGAGAAAATGACTTTGTTTGGCCTCTGTTTAAAAAAAAAAAAAAAAACAGCCACCCCAGTGGAAAGCTGTCACACCTCCAGCTTGTAGAACAGGGACTTGGAATTTTGCCTTCCCTTGTCCCCAGGAAAATCTGCAGGAATTTGGCGAACAATGCTGAAAAAATATTTTAGTTGGGGATCGGGGATGTGGTGTTTGCTGGCGGCTCTGCAGCCCCCGGCCTGGCATCCCCTGGCAGCTGCTCGGCAGGACCAGGCTCAGCACAGCGCTGGTCTCGGCCTTGCCCTCACCTTGCACGTCTTGGGATGGATGGCTTCCACATGTGCAATGAGCCCTTGGGTCACAGGAACACATTGCTGAGGGTCGTGGGGGCCCATGGCATCTCCTGCTTGGAGAAGGCACCAGCGAAGCCGTCACTTTTTCCAGGCAAGCTTTGAATGTCACCCATGCGAGATGTTCCTTGTCTCCTCCCTTATCTCTCTGGATGGGCAGAGCATGGYGGGATGGTGGTAAGAGAACTGAGGAAGAGTCAAGGAGCAAGGTAGTTTTGGAAACTGGAGCAATAGCCAGGAGAGTGGGGKKTTTTTTTTGATTTTTTTTTCCAATGCCTGTTTTAGGCAGAGAAAACAAAGCCATTTTCTTATGTCACTTGACTCTCAGTGACGTAATCGGAAACAGGGAACCTGGAGTCCCAAATGCTTCCATACAAAGGGATTTCTGTGACAATTCCTCCAATAAAAAGTAAGAGATCACATTTAAAAAACCTTTAGAAGGTACTTCAGACATGCAAACTGAAGCACCCCAACCACTAGACTGAAAGTGGAGAAATGAAGAGAGTTGTGAGGATGCAGCGTTGAAAGATGAGCAGCAAATGCTGTGGTAAGAGAAAGGGGAGCAGGGAGCTGCAGCCCATTATATGATACATATGTTTAGGAGTGCATGTAGTTCACCATTCCCTCCTAATGCCTATGGAAGTCATGGATGCAGGAGCACAAGGACCTTCTTTCTCGTGTCGCTTGACCCTGAGGTGCTTGTCATGTTTAATCAGGAGGAGGGATCACACAATACGACGGAGGCTACGGAGCACGGAGAGAGGCAGGTGGAGACGGGGAGCTCTGCCCGGCTCCTCCRTCGGATGATGGATGGATTCCAGGCTGCCGCTGGATGCGCTTGCTAGGGAGCAAGCCAGGCACAGCCAGCCCTGGCAGCCGGCGGGGTTCCAGCATCATCAGTCGCTTCTCCCTGCAGCAATTCCTGCTTTTTGTCCTTAGCTTGTCCCAGGATGTCCCTTGCGTCCCATCCACAGGCTGCTCCTGTGGGACTGCTCCCAGTACTGCTCTCCATCCAGGGGCAGCAGCATCCTGCTGGTCATGGGAATTACCATTAGGGTTTGGGGCAGAACTTCTAGGAAATGGGATATACCATTTGCAGTGGGAAATGACTGCGTGATCGTACAGGGCCAGGAAGCAGCCTGGATCCTCCCATCCAGGATAAACCCAAAGTTCCCATATTGCAACACATTCTGTTCGAGTGGGGAAAAGCCAACTTTCTCCTGCCTTTAGAAAACCCTAAAGGTTTTGTTTCATTTTTTACCATTTTATCCCTTTCCTCCTATGAAAAAAGGAGCAGAGGAAGCACAGAAGAGAGATGAGCAGCTTTACTCCATTTCTCCATGATCATCTCAGGAATGCATGGGGAAAGGGCATGTTTTCCTTTTTTCCCTTTTTTCCTTTTTCCTCCTGGAAAGAAAGTCCAAGCATCGCTCTGTGCTGCCCTCTCTCAGTTAAACGCAGAGAAAGAAGCCCAACAGATGACTTGGACAAAAGTCAGCATCCGTCACCCGCTGCCGGCTGGGAACGGACCCATCCCGTGCACCGGACAGGAATGCGCCTGCTGAAAGGAGCCACGTCTGTGTCGTGGACATCAAGGCTCTTTGACCACAGGGGCCTCGCCGCGTCTGCAGCAACCCTCAAATCAACAGGCTTTTGCCGAGCGACATCTCCTCTTCCCGAGGGGCAGTAATTAAGGGCTGTATTTTTAGGACGGTGAGACGCTGCACTAATCAATAAGGAGCAGCCACGTTCTCAAGGGCAAAGGTTGCTTGAGTGAATCCGTATTGGCCTTGAAATCACGGCTAACCCAAAGCCTGACAATTTCTGGCCATGCCCAAACCACTGTAGGCACCAGCATCCAAAGTCTCATAGTGACACCAAGGGGCTCTTGTATTTGCCCCGGGTGGCCCCTTATCTGAGCCCCCCAGCGCCCTGGGTGCCCCAGGACGGAGCACTTTTGTTCTTCATCCTCTCTTCCCTGCTGCTTTCCTGGGAATGCTCTCCAGCACGAGGCGCTTAAATCATTCATGAAGGTCTAAAATAGACCTGGCAGCCTTCCAGCTGCTCTGGCATCCAGGTTCCATAAACAACCCCCAGCCAAGGGACTCAGCTTGGAAAAAGACATTTTTATGCCTATTCCCCAGGCTCCACTTCCCCAGAAATCTTTAAACGTGCTCATTTCTAGTCTGTAAGTGTGGCAAAACTGTTCTGAGGCGTTTGCCAACCTTYCTTCTTCCCCAGGCACTTCCCACCATCTCACACAACCCACCTTTGTGTGGCCGGAGTGCCCTGCCTGGCCGGCTGCGAGGGATGTCCAAAAAGCAGAGAGATCCTCTGCAAAAAAAGCCCAACCCAGGGAAGCCTGATGTGCACGTCTCTGCCCTCAAATACGTCCCGGGTGCCCTTTAGAAGGCAACCTTCTTTTTTTTTTTTTTTTTTTTTTTTTTTTTTTTGGACAGCTTTGACCTTTCTGGAGATGGGAATTCACCGAGGTATTTTCTCTTGGCCGCTCAACCACATCAGCACTTCGGGAGCGCAGAGGGAGCAGGGGAAGGAGCCTGACATTTATTTCTTATTCTTATGTGTGTGGTTCACTGCAAATAATTGGGGTGTACGTAGCAAATGCCAGGGAATGGGGTGCTCTTTCCCTGCCCCATCCAGGGTCTCGTCCCATCTTCACTGAGGCAGCAAGGGGCGCTTGCCCTGCAGAGGCAGGACATGGGTGCCCCACAACGCAATCGGCTTCCTGGGCAGTGCAGACCGGGTCCCTTGCTGTGGAATATCCAGGGGCTCCTGAGCTGGCTCCGTTTGCTCCCGGGCACGGAGTGTCCCGGTGAGCACCGGCAGGCTGGCAGGGCGCCCGCAGCCTCCTCCTGACATCCTGGCCGCTGCGTGGAAGCGGCTCCCGGCGCCAATGCTGGACACGGGGCGGGCAGATGAGCAGCCCGAGGAGCGCCAGGGACCTGCAGCAGCAGCAGCTCTCCAGGGAATCCAGGCAGGCAGCGAGCCGGGAGCAGGCGGATGCACGAGGGCTGCAGCGGCCGGGGGCACCA